CTTTGGCTTCCTTCCAAATGACTCTGTGAATTTGGAGCTGAAGATGCCTTCCAGTCCCTCTGCCCATGTGGTTTGTTCCAGCTACTGGATCTTTATCAGTTCTGGGAGATGCTGCATATCCCCATTTCTCTGCCAGATTAATTTCTTTTTACTCCAGTGGGCATACCGCTTGAAGCACTGCTGAACATGTGGTCAGAATTGTTACAGTTTCAGGGAAGGCAGATGATGTATTTCCAGACTGTTTTTGTTTGTGTTTTTGTTTTGTTTGTTTTTCTCCAGTTTATTGTTGCTTAGTCATTGTTCTTTTTGAGTCTTTATGTCTGTGCTCTATTACTCCATACAGGTAACATTTTCAGAAGTTTCTCTCTGATCCCCTGAATTGGTCACTGAAACTGCAAAGCAAGATTCTGCTGTCTTTACAGCTTATCCCAGTTTTGAGGAAATGGTAGCTAGCCTTTCTCTTCTGTTGACTTGACCTGTGCACACAGAGGAGGATGAAGAGCACAGCCAGTGTATTAGTGCTGCATAGAGAACAGTAAAACGCTGAATGTAGCAGGACTTGAGAATCAAACATCTACTTCTGTCACAGGACATGTGGTTTGTGTGCATTGTGGTGGTACTGAAATGTGCAGGACAGTGTACAGGCATTGCTGATAGAGAAGGAGCATTCGTTTACTGTGATTGATGTAAGAATATTATTATAGTGTTAATAGTGGAACAACAACAGTAATGACAAATAACTATTAATATTATATTTGCTTTTTTTCTTTAGAAAGTAAGTGTTAAAGGATAACATTTATTAAATGTTATGTGTTTTACGAAATGTTAAATGGTAAGACAGCTTTATATGTAGACTGCAGAGTTTTGCACAATACATAAGTAGTTTAAATATATTCTAGAGCAATTCTCTTTCCTTGCAGCCTTTTATCTTGCTCAACCTGTAATGATTACTTTGCTGTCTCTTTTCCTTTGCTCCTCTCCTACGTAGAGGAGTTGTTTCTTCCTGCCATCTTAACTTTTTTCTTTGTTGATATAAAAGCATAAATTATTCCTAATGTGGTTCTTCCTTAAACATTCGCTGTACGCTGATAGGCTTAGCAGAGATGGGATCACCAGGGGAATGGATGACTCAGGCTTTTACACACTGAGTCAAAAGTCACAATGAGTCGATTCATATACCTTTGGCATGTAAGTACAAGCTGTCATTTCATTTCACTGAGTTTTGTTGATGAGTTTTTCCAGAATTAATTAAAACATAGTGAAGTATTGAAAAGTAATGTGACTTGTACATGGTCTGCTTAGGCATTGGCTATGCTGGGAAGTGCGTTGGTGTTGCAACCTGATTTCACTGTTATATTTGCAGTAAAGGAAAAAAACTTAGCATGCGTTTCACGTTTGTATTTTAATCAGTTACTTTTTGAGTATTATGTCACTAATGACCACCAATGTGTTTTAAGTATATGACATATAGCTGTTATTTCACTTTCACATCCATTTAATGTTTCTCTTTGTCCAAAGAATGTTGACTGAAGATTTTTCAGGCATACTGCTTGTAAAATAGTTCAAAGGGCAATAATGCAATGTGGGGTTGTGGAACTTGCCCAGCAGTGAACAGGATATAACAAACTGCTATTCTTTTGCATCAGTCCTTATTTTTAGTCCTTAGGTTTGTTAAACATTTCAGCTGGGCTGTTTTTAAGGGAAGTGATGCACTCTGGCTTAAATGGACAAATTCTGTGTCACCCCAAATCATCAGTTCTCTGTCAGCAACAATCTTAATGCATATCTTCTCTGACTGAGAGGGTAGTTGTGAGTAGCAGTAGCCTAATGTCACAATACAGAAAAATCAGTCATCAAAGTAGATTCAGGTTTGATTTTATTTCAAGTATCTTTTTTCAATGGGGTCTCCTAAAGAATTCTGATGCTTTGTGCTGAGCCTCCCCACTGGAGATATGCAGATGAATTATCCACATGTCAGCTCTACCCAGTGAAATTCAAGATCATGTTGCTAAGGAGCCTTTTTACAGGAAAATGATTCAGTGGCTGGCTTGGCCTACTATCACAGAAATAAATTGTTTTCTATGCTCAGGTATGACCAAAGTGGTGACCACTTAGTACAAAACTTCTTCCTAAAGGTTTCTCAATAGGATGAAAGCCTAAGTTGCTAAAAAGCACTAGCTTTTCTTGGTTGCTAAAAGAATTAATTGCATCTAGGTGACATATTTGAGACAATCAACAAGAAAATAATTATTTATGGGGTATTTACCTCCATTCATTGCACACTAGTACTTTTTACAAGAGTTGAGCTCTAGGGTTTCTATCGGAGTCACTGATGAGGTTTTTTTGTGGGATTTGTTTTTGGGTTTTGTAAGTTTTTTGCTCTTTCTGTACTTCCCTTCTGTTGTATACTTGTCACCTTTGGAAGTCCCTTGAATTGTGATCTGGCTAGCTTTCCTTTGTGGTGGGCATGAAAAATTTTACTATATCTGTTAGTGTTCCAGCTTTTGGTAGTGAACATGAGTTCTCTCAAACTATGCTTTACTGGGCTATGTTCTAAAAAGATTATTATGGAGTGGAAAACTAAAGGACTGGGTGGTGACATAAGATCTGGATTTGCAAGGAGAAATGGCTGTATCTGGAAACTTGAATGATCTGATACTGCATCTGTGGTTAGCTTTAGAGAGGTTATAGTTCAAATAGGTTGGTGTCTGCCCAACCTTTTCTGCTTTGGTAACTGCTTTTCAGTAACTCTATTCATATAGTTCTTCAGGTCATATCAAGTAATCCTAATACTTAAAGTAATTTCAAATAATGTGATGAGCCTTAGTAGCAAGGAACTGCTGGCAACTTGCTATTAGAGTGTTTGGCGGTTGTATTTAGCTGTTTCATAAGGACATAATCATATACAAACATTTCTTCTTATCCCACTTTTACCACCAAGTCATGATAGGATCAGTTTGGGACCATCTGCCGAGAGATTTCATCGGTAACTTGGGCTAAAGCAAAATATTTTAAAAATATTCTGTGAAGGTTAGATTTCTTTCCTTCTCTTTTAACTGTTCTGGAAGAGTGGCAAATAAAAGTGTCGTCATCCAGTTTTCCTTTTATTTCCTCAAGCAGCAGGTCCAAGCCCAAAGGAAAAAAGTATAAACCAAGCTGAATTGGTCTTTTGTATGTATGAGAGCTTTCTCTGCCTTGGCTTCTCATCAGACCAGGTTTGCTTGCTGTGAGGATAATCTGACTTGCCTTTTAAAATGTTAAAGGTCAGCTGTACTTGAGGAAGCCCCTGGTTGGCAGTGACTTCTAGGAAATATCCTCAGCTCGCTCTTGACAGTTAGCCTCTCTGAAACCGTAGCCTTTTCTTACCTCTGAGATCCCAGTGTAGTCTGATGCATTGCAGAAAGCACCGAGTAGATAGATCCTAGCACAGTATTCACTATTTATACGTTCCTTATTGAAGAATGTAAAGTGGATGGGATCTGCATTGGAGCCAATGCATGCCCCATTAGTCTGCATCATGTCTGCAGGAGTAGCTAATGGTGCATTTGTTTCTTTGGGAGATTCTCCTCCCCCTCTAATCAGCCCTGGTGGGTCCTCACTTGGAGTATTGTGTCCAGTTTTGGGCTCCCCATTTCAGGAGGGACAGGGATCTACTTGAGAGAGTCCAACAGAGGGTGTTGAGGATGACTAAGGGACTGGAACACCTGCCTTATGAGGAAAGGCTGGGAGACCTGGGGCTTTTCAGTCTAGAGAGGAGAAGACTGAGGGGACAATCTAATTGATGTCTATAAATACATGAGGGCTGGGCTTCAAGAAGGCATGTGCAATATATTTTAACTTGTGCCCTATGACAGGATGAGGGGCAATGGATTCAAACTCAAGCACAGGAAGTTCCACCTCACCATGAGGAAGAACTTCTTTACTGTGAGGGTTACAGAGCACTGGAACAGGCTGCCCAAGAGAGGTTGTGGAGTCTCCTTCTCTGGAGACTTTCAGGACCTGTCTGGATGCCTTTCTGAGTAATCTGCCCTAGTGTTTTGTTGTTTGGGTTTGTTTTTTGGGGTTTTTTTGTTTGTTTGTTGGTGGGGGGTTTTTGGTGTGGTTTATTTTTTTGTTTGTTTGATTGTTTTTTTTTGTGTCCTGTTCTGGCAAGGGGATTGGATTCAAGGATCTTTGGAGGTCCCTTCCAACCCCTAATATTCTGTGGTTCTTTCCTCCTCCTCTTCTTTCTTCTTTGTTGCCTGTATCCTTTCGCTTAGAAGGCATGAGATGTGTTAGACTGAAGAGTGAACTCAGTCACCTGCATGATTGTGAGCCTAGGATAAAAATGAATTATTAAACAAGAACTGAGCTTCTCTATATTTATTAGGTAGAATGAGTTGTAATAATGTCCTGTAGACAGAATATAATTATTATTCTCATTTATATGCAGATCACTGACAAAAGAATCAGTTATTTTGCTGTCAGCTTTTAGTTATGTAGACTTTTAATCATTGACTAATTCTATTAAAAAGCTCATAATGTAGAATCAGACTATATAAATGAATCTAATCACTAATACCATTTAGCTGGTTTAGAATGTGTTTTAAATAGTCATGTACTGTGAAAATTGTCAGACAAGGGATGACCAAGTTAGACTGCTAGGAGAGATTTCGTGGCAAATTAAAGGAGCGCTTATGTAAAGTTCCGTACTATTGCAGTGTGTGTAAGTGTGTGCGTATGCGCACGCACATTCATATGCTGGAGCTGATGAGGCTCTGGCAGGGAGCTTTGCAGAAGCTGCAAATATTTTTAGTGGAAACGAAATCTCGGTTCAGTTCTGCAGCATGTGACTTCCTATTTCTGTAAGTTACTTCCAAGGGACTTCCTCTGCTAAATCGGCTTGTCTCCAGAGATTTAAGCTGGAGCTGGAGTGTAGTGTGCTTTGTCCTGTGCCTGGGACAGCATTTTCCCAGAGTTTTCTTCCAGTATTTTAATTTTGTATTTTGTACTGTCTCCAGCATGCAAGGATCTAGTGGCTGCTACCCGTGATCGGAAGCTGAATACGTTTGTACAAGTCTCAGTGGTACATCCAGCAGAGCACATTTTGACGAGGTATTCAAGCACTGAAATCGTGGAGGTGAGAGTCTTTCTTATTCAATTAACATGTTGATTAATGTACTGTTCATTTCTTCCTTAGAAAGTGAGTGAGAAATAAAACAAGTCAGTGCATAGTCTTAGGTAAGACAAGCATACTGTGGCAGTTAGTAAAGCATACCTAAGAGTGTTCTGTAGTTCCTGGCATTTAACCAGGATAAACAGCTAGAAATGAATTTGGCTTTTCATGAAAGCTCTGTTGTTCCAAGTAGAGGCACAGAGAATACTCTGGTTCTCCAGACATGGGTCTAGAATGAAAGAGGGAATAGTTGGTCTCATGAGGGGACAAGGCAATGCAAAGTAAAACTAAATTAAGAGGACATTATTTTTAAATTACGGAATAAGACAGGTGTATTATATGGTCTGTGATCTGTTTCTTGTTCTGTTTTTTTCCATTGGAAAGTTGACACTCTTGTAATTTGAAAAATATTAGTCCACTTGTTTAATTAGGGAAAAGAATGTGTATACGTAATGTTGTGACTTTATATAAAATACTGAATAACTTGCATCAGGTGTTACAGCAAAAGTTGGGTGAGGCTGCTCTGCTGCTCTTCACTTTGCCTGTAAGCATCAGTGTCAAAACCAACAAAAATGGCTCACAGAGAAAATTAACCATGAGCTGGCAGTGTAGGTGTAACTTGATTAACTTACTGGAGACAGTCATCAAGAACAGGGAAGTCTTATTGTTAACATATACATGAAATTGCTAAGGGCTTGTTTTAACTGTGAAATACAATGAAAGTGTTTCATGGGCTCTTTATGTGATCAGTTGCAAGCGACTACTAATTAAATTGTTATGGTTTCAGCCATTTAAACATCCTGAAACTGCTTGATTCAAATACCTTGTATCTAATCAGGATTCTTCATTGCAATCTGTTTGGAATGGTGTTGTGCAGAACATGGAACAGATTTATTTTTGTATTGATGCTGATGCACTTTCTAACCTGCTGTCCTAGATTGGAATAAATCCCTGAATTTGTTGTGTCAAGGCTCTCAGCTTCATAGCTGCATGCTTTGGGGGAGAGGAAGGCAGGGGCACATAAAAGTTTCTTCAAGAGAAATTAGTTATCATGCAAATTCTGTATTTTACTTAATAGAAAAATTAAGAATACTAGCCTGGTAGTCTTTGGAAGTTAAGTATGACTAAACATTAAGAAAAGGTAAACAACATTTTCTATGATTCATTTAATTGTTTGTATATCTGAAGATATGATAGAGTTAGCTGTGTGTACAGCCTTTAGATATAATCATGTTATAAAGCGCAGGAGTGTTCTCTAACTCCACTACTGCCTAAAGAGAGGTACTGCAGTCCCTTTCCCACAGGTCAGTGTCCTTAATGTGTTACACAGAGTCTGTATAGCAATTCTATAGACTTTTTATTGTGACATAATGAAAATCTCTTTTGTGTGTGTAAGTAATACTTTTAGTTCACTTAACTTTGTATGATCTGTGGTAGTTTGAGAAAGTATTGTGGGAGAAAGAAAGGCATTGTTTATTAAAGGTTGTATTCCAGATACTGAAACTTGCTGACTGAGCTGTTGAAAGGCATGTTGCTAGGCTCTGTTTCAGAAGTACTTAATATCTTTTTCAGTTAAAAAACTGTCCATGAAGTTTTTTTTGAAACTTTGCAAAGTTTTAAAGTCCAGTTTTCTTATTGATAGGGACAATACTTAGCTGTTCTTATCTCTCTGCTGTAGAAAGCTAACTTCTTTTAAAGAGCCCATCCATAATGCATACTGCACATTGCACAGCTGTTACCTTGCTGAATGTTTACTCATGTTACACAGGGTACAAGAGATCCACTGTTTTTGACTGGTGTGACATTCCCACCGGAATACCCCATCTATGAGGAGACTAAAATAAAACTAACAGTCTATGATGTCAAAGATAAATCTCAAGACACGGTAAGTGCTTTGCTTTGCTTCTTACATAAATCTTACTGAGGATTAAGTTTCTTGCCATGTTGGTCTGTGGCTCTCTTTAGCAAGTTTGCAAATCAGGGGAATAAGTTTATGTAGAATTGGTTTTGCTCTTGTCTTACACCTAAAAATGTGCTGTACTTTCTGGTATTAAGAGTAGAGAAGAAGAACCATGCACTTAAGATGGACCCTTTTCTATTGTTTAAGTGGTTACATGAATCAGCTCAGGTATTCTTGTAAAATACAAGATGACTCTTGCGTGGTTTTTGATGGCAGAGAACATATGGAGTAGACTGAGATTACACCGCTGTGAATAATTTTTCAGAAATATGTTTCTAATAGTATTGTACTTCTATGCCCAAACCAGAATGATAATAGAGCCTGTAGCCTGATGTTTGAGATTAAAATAAAATATTATTATCTCTTGCATGGTTATGCCTACAGCTCTCCTGTGGCTGCTACTCTTATTGATTTGTAATGGCCCAAAATCTTCTGTGTCACTGAATGATTTGGGGTTCCTATGTTGTACACTTTCTTGGTTACACTGTCAGTTTCTTTCTGAGAAACAGTTACTCACTTGAGATGATATAGGGAGGCCAGTGGGACTATTTGAGTGATTTAACTGCCAAATGCAGACCTTGAGTGCCATCTTCTGTGCTCCAGGTGATCTAAGACAGATTTTCAGAGCTAGGTCACATCATAGGACCTCTGGGAGATCTGTATTGTTGTGTTGGGTTTTTTTGGGGTTGTTGTTTTTTTTTCCTCCCTGTGGCAGTGTCACGATCCGTGACCTATTATATCTCCTTATTGGAGTGTATTAACTTATCAGGATTTGCTGAGAGATCCACACGGGTATCGCCTCACACAGAGGATACAGGAACTTATGCCCTGACTTTTTTGAGTGAATAACTCGCTCAGTGCTTACTAATATTTCTAACAACAGCAAGGTTTATTGTGGGGAAAACAAAGCAATTTGGGGCAGGAGGCTCAAAAGGAGTGATTACAACACATTAAACATATATGGGTACACCTTAGTTACACACCTTATTTACTTATTTAAGTGAGGGAAGGAGGGGGAGGGATATGCCCGACACCGTTCCCATATAGGGTCGCGATTTGTGTGCAGGTAAGACAAAATTACTTTCCCCTATAAGCTGGGGTAGCCGGATTTATCTCACCACGCGG